CTGTCTCGACCTCACCCGGCCTCCATTCCCAGACTCGCTCTGCGGTGTGGGTGAGGGGCGTTGGGTAAAGTAATCCAGCCTCACAGGCCACCCTTCCCCCGGGACGGCTCAGCCCAGGCCTCAGCACACGGCACTCGGCACCCGGCACAACGTACATAGCACACGGCACCCGGTACATGGCACATGGCACCTGGTACACAGCACCCGGCACATAGCACACGGTACACGGCACAGAGCACATGGCACACGACACACGACACATGGCACCCAGCTCATGGCACCCAGCACACGGCTGGTGGCACCCAGCACATGGCACATGGCACATGGCACCCAGCACACGGCACCTAGCACCCGGCACACAGCCCCTAGCACCTGACACATGGCACCCAGCACATGGCACCCAGCACACGGCACATGGCAACCGGCACACGGTACCCGGCACACAGCACATGGCACCCAGCAGGCTCTGTAAATGGAGCCTTTGGTGTCACTGAGCTGCTCGGGGCCCAGGAGGCCGGTCCCAAAGCTCAGCCTGGACCATGTCATTTCCTCACCGGCCTCTCAGCTGCCTGTGGTCGGCGCTAAGGGCCGGCACTGCCGGATTCTCGGGGGGGCCCGGGGGAGGGTGCAGCTCCCGCGCTGGGACCCACGGTGCCCCTCCCGCCAGGCCTGCTGTGGCAGCTGCGGCCCAGCGACGTGGAGGTGGAGCTGCTGGCGCACACGAGGCGCGTGGTGAGCCGTGACCTGGAGGAGGAGACAGGGCTGCACACGGGCTGGATCCAGAACGGGGGCCTGTTCATCGCGTCCAACCGGCAGCGCCTGGATGAGTACAAGAGGCTCATGTCGGTGGGTGCGCCCTGCAGGGTGGGGGCTGGTGTGGGTAGGTGCACCCTGCAGGGTGGGGGTCGTGTGGGTGGGTGCGCCCTGCAGGGAGGGAGCCCCGACAGATCTGGTGAAACCCTGGCGGGTGGGAGGCCCCTGGTGGCTCGGCCTCTGGGGAGGAGCCTGCCTCTCAGCCTCAGTCCCCCCACTGTGAAATGGGACCGTGGAGGGGGAGACACCAGGCAGCAGGGTCTGTCGTCTGGGTGGCGCCGGGGCCCTGGCGGCTGAGCGTCCTGGAGGAGGGGTCAAGGCTGACCCTCGGAGCCGGGCGGGGGGGACAGTGGCCGGAAGGGCTCGCTCCCGAGGGCTCAGTCACTGTCCCCCGGACCCCTAGCTGGG